CTTACGGAGGAGGGGCAACTTCCAGCCAAGTAGAGTATACACTCGCTGAGGTGGGTGTGGTCCCCATTTTGCTCACACCGGACGTTGAGGCTTGGGGCAGTCAGAAGTCACATAGAAGATAAGCCAGTCTGCCAACCAGGGCTAAAGTGCCCAGGCCCTGAGCTCCACTGTTTGTCCAGTGGGGTGAGAGTGCAAGGGTGAGGGCGGGAGGGGGCGGTGTGGGGGAGAGCTCTGACCAAAGGAATGGCTCCAAATCCACCCTTCCCTCCGAAAGAAAGGCGTGTCTGCTGTGCCTTCTTCCCCCCAGTCCGGGACCTTCTAACCAACTCATTCCTACATGCCTGATCTCAAGAGTTCCAACCTTGAACCAGCGGGACTGGGCAGCTACCCTCCAGTCCCGAAGCACACTCTCCTGCTATTCATTCCTTCATCCATCCATCCATTGGTTTATTCACTCCTTCAGCCATTCATTCAAAAGATATGACTGAGCGGTGCTATGTGCGAGGCACAGTACTCCCAACTGTCGGAGACAGTAGCCATGAACTCACGTTCCAGTAGGAAGACAAACAATAAACCAAGTAGATCAACGAAAGTGGGGATAATATCAGTCCGGGATAGATACTATGGAAGAAGTAAACAGGCAAATGTGACCGAGCAGTAGCTGGGGTGGTGAAGGAAGTTCTCCCAGAGGAGGGGGCACTGGACACTCAGCCTTGACAAAGAAAGGCTTTTCTTCAGCATTTCCCTTCCCCCAGTTGTGTGCAGAGCCCTCAAAAGAGGGGAACTGCTTCCAGGAGGGCTGAGCGGGAGTTGCAAAAGGGAGGGAAAGGGGACGGCGGCGGGGGATGTGCCTGCTAGGGGTGGGGGTGCAGGACTTAAAGCAGAGGGCCCTGCTGACCCCCATCATTCCCGGTATGCGGTGAGGTAACGGGGAAGTACAGAGATATGGCCAAGCCAGGGTGTCAAGGGCAGCTGGGGCAACTTCAAGACAAACAGCAAGCCAGGGGGAGTGTTGGCTGCAGGAGAAAAAACTCACCGGGAGAGCAGAGGCTGGGCCAAAACCTGGCTTCAGATGGCTGGCAAGCCTAGTGGGGGAACTGAGTGGCTTGGCTTTTAGCAAAGGAAGGATGGATGGATGGATGGATGGATGGATGGATGGACGGACGGACGATGGGCAGATGGGCGGGCTGGTGGACGCACAAATGATTGAATGCACACAGACAGAAACAACCAGCTACTCTTATTAGTGTTCTCTCCTGAAAGGTGTGTTTGTAGGGACTTGAGAGAGGGGGTCGGTGATGGTTTTCATGAGGGAAACCATGCCCCGCCTATTGTCTCCAGATCCCAGGCAAACCCACACACAGGCACTCGCTTCCTCGCTCCCAGCCAAGTGCTCACTCTTTCTGAGTCCATCCATAAGATACAATGTAGAAAGGTAGAAGGCAGTGGTGCTGGTTCCAAGAAGGAGCTCCGTGCCTAGAAGGAGCTCCAGCTGAGGGCACCAAATGCTGTGTCCCGAGTGCTAAGGGTTTGGAATTTCCCAGGTAGCCGAGGAAAGGGCTGAATAATGAGGCAGTAATTCAACAGGTAACAAAAGCGCAGGTGGGTAGGTGGTGAGAGGCAGCGCCCACAGAAAGCTTCCTGGGACTCGGGTTTTCTGGCACTGAGAGCAGAGGTTACCGGAGAACGTCGCGGTTACACCTGTGCCTGTCTTGCACCCATGCATTTCGATGCTTGTGCTCTTCTCTTCATGCCTGGGCCTGGAATCTTGGGGGAGAAGTGGAAGAGGTTGCTGCCACCCTGTAGGTGTCCAGGCGGCTCCTGGGTACATGGACAAGGGCAGCCTGCTCCTTGGGCACTCCTTGGCAAAGATTCGCCAGGACGCTGCTGGACCGCATGCCGTTTTCGATGGTCCATTCAACACGCATTTTATGAGGACCCACGATGTGTCAAGACCCGTAGCAAACAAAACAGGACGGGCCCCTGTTCTAAGTGAGCTCACTATTTTCGTGCAGCCTCAGAGAGGCAGGCTCTTAATTCTGTCGCTTCATTCCTGAGGAGGGGGAGGGAGAGCAACTGATTGCTTTTGGCTAAAGGAAACCAAAGACCCTTGAACTAGTATGAGCTAGTATGGCAAAAATGGGCAGTGGATGGAACCCTGGGTCCACAGCTCACGGCTTTAGTATTTTATTTCACAAATATCTGTGCGGCACCAGGCATGGCCGAGGCTGTCCTCTAGGAGCCTCTGACCAGTGAGGTCAAGATTCACACTGACCCAGGGCGCCTGTGTGGTTCAGTCTGTGGAGCATCCGACTTCGGCTCAGGTCATGATCTCACGGCTTTGGGTTCGTGGGTTCGAGCCCCACATCGGACTCGTGCTGACAGCTCAGAGCCTGGAGCCTGCTTTGGATTCTGTGTCTCCCTCTTTCTCTGTCCCTCCCCCACTCACATTCCGTGCGCGTGCGTGTGTGTGTGTGTGTGTGTGTGTCTCAAAAATAAACAAACATGTTTAAAATTTTTTTTTAAAAGATTCACACTGACCTGATCAAACTAGACAACAAGGTCCAAGAAAGAGACTCAGCACGTGGGAGAACCAAATCCCATTGGGTGGCGTGGGAAGGCTTTCTGGAGGAAGGGACTCTAGCTGGACCCCAGATCATTAACGAGACAAAAGCACAGGCTCCAGATTGGGGAGTTCTAGGCAGAGGAAACCCCTAAACTGCTGTGCGCAGGCAGAACTTGGCAGTTTCTAAGAACTGAAACAAATTGGACAGGAACATTTGGGACAATGGGAAGCTCATCCACTTTTTACTATCTGAGGCTGGAAAATCAGATGGTTTCTCTGAATTTCAGTCTACTCATCTGCAAAATGGGTAGGACAAGGTGAGCATTGCCACACACTGTTTGGGGGTGGGGGTGGGGATTGGGGCATGACCTGTGGATGGCTTCTGGCACAATAGGTGCTTAATAAATATAAGATGACTTATATCTGCATGGCTTACGTCTGCGGGCCAGAGCCGCTCAGGTCCCCATGGGCGGGGGGGAGGGGTTCGGACCCGCGCACCCCTGGCCTAGGTTTTCGGAATATCTTTATTAACGAGCACTTCAAGGTAAGCCGCGATGGAAACCAGATGTGGGATTGAGCAGTCGGCGGCCGGAGGCAGAGCAAGGAGCAGAGATACCAAGGGAGTGGGGTGGGGGTGAGGATTAGCCCGGATGAGGTTGGGAGTAGAGGCACACCCCCCCCCAGGTCTTTTTTCTTTGGGATATGGTAGGTTCAGAAAATGGATTTCCGACCCACGTGCCTGGGTTCACGATGCTCAGGCCCTCTCTCGTTCTACTTTGCCCCTTTACTGCTCACCCCATCCCCAGCCTCCCTTGAGGGAAGTCCTCAATCCGCGGATTTTCCCTGCAGTTTGTCATAAGCTGCTCTGAGCGGTCTCCTTCAAACTGACTCATTCCCCAGTGGGAGACCCGTCTCCTCTGCGCTTGGCGTTTTCGCTGTCCCCGATGCCATCCCTGGACCGTGGAGGGACTGGCCACGGCATGGTGTCCAAGGCGGGCCTCAGCCAAGTGACCACACCTGTCTGAGCCTCGGTTTGTTCATCGAAAATTGGGGGCCCCAACTTCCCACCACTCACAGTTGTTGTGAGATACGATCGATGACTAACCCTGGGGAAAGGGCTGGACGCACCTTAAAAGTTCTTTTCCCTTGCTGTGACTGGTCCAGTGTGCCCCGCGTCGTCGCCTAGGGAAACCACAACCCATCAAATCCAAGCCATCGGTCTCAGGTCGGAGACAGTGAGTGTAGAGAGAGAAGAAGCTGCCTCACCCTTACCCCAAGCCCCGAGCAGGTGACTGTGTGAAGACCAGGCGCAGCCAGCAGGTCTCCCAACCCCTTGCTCTCAACCCCAGACCAAGACCGGAAAATCCCCTGGGTTGGGTGCAGTGCTGGGGAGAGAAGGGCTCTGTCCCAGGAGGGGAGGGAGGGGACCGAGCTGTAAGACTTCCCCAACTTGGCCCATCGAGGGTCTCTCCGGTGCTTGAGTGAACACAGGCCCCTCTGCACCCAGACCCAGCGCCCTTCCAGGGGAGGGAAATAGTTAATAAGACGGGAAAGTGGCCCCGCAGGGGACTAGTGCTTGGTGTGCGTGTTAATTTCATGGAGGGACTGCAAATGGGGAAGAGGGGTTGTAAACAGAGGAAAGGGCACCAGTGGGAAGGCCCAGAGCCGCACCCACAAATTTGGAGGCAAGTGTCCAAAGGACTCACCCATATCAGGAGGCTAGAGACCCTTCAGACTCCACGTGAAAACCTGTTGGGTGTTTTTGTTTCATTTCTTTCTTTCTTTTAATCTGTCACTAAAGTTTTGCCTGCTCCCCTCCCCTAGGCCAAATCATGGACCCACCAATTCTCTGCCTAGCCTCAGGAGTCCTGGGGGTCCCGTCACCTCTCCGGGCCTAGAATCCCTAGAATCCGAAAGGCCCTCCGGTGCCTCCAGGTTTAATCCCTAGCGAACCAGTTAGTAGCATCTCCTTAAGAGAGAGGAAGGGAGGCGCAGGAAGTGGAAGGAGAGTAGGGTGGAGGGAGAAGGAGAGAAGGAAGGAGAGAGTCTTGGGGGGTGGAATTCACTCTCCCCCCCCCCAACACCTTAAGAGAGTTTGGGAGATCTGGTCAACTTTCCCAAACATCTGAATCTTTTTACAGCCCTCCGTTCTTTCCCTGGGCCAGCTGTGTGGAGGGAGAAGGAAGAGAGAGGAGGAGGAGGGGGGAGAGAGAGAGGGAGAGAGAGGGAGACATAGAGAGAGGAAGAGAGAGAGAGAGAAAGAAAGAGAGAGAGAGAGAGAGAGAGAGAAGCGCAGGGGAGGAGGGAGAGCGAGCAGGCCGGCGCGGAGCGCAAGGCCACCGCCTCCTCGCCTCTCCAAACTCCCGGCCAAGGCGCGCGGTGGCGTCCTCGCGCTCTCGCTCGCGCCCCCGCCCGTCGCCCGCGCAGGCCAGGCATGAATGCTGAGACTTGTGTGTCTTACTGCGAGTCGCCGGCTGCTGCCATGGACGCCTACTACAGCCCGGTGTCGCAGAGCCGGGAGGGCTCCTCGCCTTTTAGGGCATACCCGGGCGGCGAGAAGTTCGGCACAACTTTCCTATCGGCCGCCGCCAAAGGACAGGGATTCGGAGACGCCAAGAGCCGGGCCCGCTACGGCGCGGGGCAGCAGGACCTGGCGGCACCCCTGGAGAGCGGCGCCGGGGCGCGGGGCTCCTTTAACAAGTTCCAGCCCCAGCCTCAGCCGCCGGCCCCGCAGCAGCCGCAGCCGCAGCCGCAGCCGCAGCCACAGCCGCCCGCGCAGCAACCGCATCTCTACTTGCAGCGCGGCGCTTGCAAGACGCCCCCGGACGGCAGCCTCAAAATCCAGGAAGGCAGCGGCGGCCACAACGCGGCCTTGCAGGTCCCCTGCTACGGTGAGTGCACGTGCGGGGTGCTCAGGGCTGGGGACCCCGGGACCGAGGCTTCGGAGCCCTTGAAGCCCACTTGGCTTTCGCGAGGCCGGACTCGGCGGGCTGGGGAGGCGCGGGGCCGAGCAGTGGGGTGGCTCTGGGTCGGCAAATAGGAACCGACTGCTCTGAGGGGACCATGGGATCCGTCCTGCCACCTTCGTATCCTCCAGCCGAGGGCTCGGAGCGTTTGGGCTGTTAAAGACGACCTGGTGTTTGTTTCTCCCCGTCTTCGCCGAACCACTCGCTTTGCGCTGCTTTCGGGGCCCCCTCTGAAGCGGACGCTTCGCAGGGGCTCCGGGCGCGCCGAGGCCAACAGTCCCGGTGCAGCGCTCGCGCGCGGGGCTCCGGGGCTGCGGAGGCCTCGCTCCCCGCAGGCCTGGAGGGAGGCTCCTCGGGCGGCGCTGCAGGTGGGAGCGTCGCAGGTGCCGAGCCCTCTGGGAGCCCGGGGCGCAGTCGGCGAAGCCCGGGATGCCCTGGCACAGGGGGCCACACGGGTGCTGGGCTCCCGACGCCCGGAGTCATCGAAGACCCCAGTTCGCCACCCCACAAACCCACACACCCCACAAACCCACACGCCCCGCAAGCGCGGCTCGCGGCGGAGAGACAGGCCGGCTCAGGCTCCAAGCGTTTCTCCTGTGGCCAACCTGGGGGGGCGACTGGCCTGGGAACAACGGTTTAGGACCGACCCGCAAGAAGTCAGGGAACTGCAGAGCCCGAGGCGGGGCGGTGCTGGGGGAAGAGGGAAGGTTCTGGGTCCTGATTTGGGCCCCCAGGGAACCCGAGGCCTAAATGACCTCCAAGCCCCCTTGAGCTCACAGGCAGGACGTCGTAGGCCTGGGCCCCCGGAGGGTGGAAGATCGGGCTGCCTGAGACCAGAGCAGCTCAGGAGCCTATAGGCCTTCCCTCCCACTGAATCCAGATTGATGAGCCCCAAGCCAGCAGAGAAAACAACCCAGAAGGGAGGGAAAAATTTTCCCTGGGCTAGGAACCCTGGGTACACACTCTCCCTGAGACCTTGGCCTTCAGGCAGGGCCCTGGAGATCAGCTGGTCCTGACAGAGCAATGACTTTGGTTGCACGGGCCCAGGCTGGATGGAGGGACCAAGGTTGGATGGAGAGACATAGGACATGGTGGAGGCTTCGGTGACTAGAACAGCCTCAGGAAAACAGCCCGTGGCACACACTTTCCTACGTTCAAACTAGCTTTCCCAGAGGCTCTGAACCAGTTCTTTAGGTGGTTATTGACACAAACATTTTTACACAATCATACACTTGAGTCTGCGCACACACACAACCTCTTCCTCGTGAGCCAACATGGTCACACACAAATACACTCACTCGTGTGGCCTCACACATAGTCACACACTCCCAAACCCAAAGGACAGGACTGAGAGCAGATTTAGAAAGTTCCGGTGGCCTTTCCCCACTTCCTCCACCTTTCCTCTCCACCTTCCTGTTGGAATGAGATCAGGCACTCAGATCACAGACACTCACAGCTCCACACTCAGGCAGGCAGGAGCTGTCAGCCCTTGTCAGCAGGCACCCGCCTGCCAGCGCCTCGGCTCAGGCTCCCTCCTCCTGGTCCCTGTCGCAGAGGACTATTAGGCGAGAGCAAATCACGGCCTGGGAGACCCGTGGAGGTTCACTGTGCAAAGCCAGGAGCCTGATGTGTTTTCTCTCCCACTGCACTGGATTTGCATGTTTTCAAAAATTCACCAGTGGGGCTTCTGAGGAGGAAGAAGCATTACATAAGAAGAGGTCCCAAGCTGTCTCCAGCCTCTTCTTTGGAAGATGCCTTCAGGTCCAGGGTGGAGAGGGGGGGAGGGCTGGCCCCCTCTGGACACCCTCTTCGAGCCCTGCTGGGCCCCCACACACCAGCCTGGCCCTTCCTCTACTCGCCTTAGCCAGTAGAGCAAGTAATTCCTCTGAAGCCCTTTTCCTCATCTGCATCACAGGGAGAGAATGTTGATAACTTACATCACTGGGCGGTAAGTGCCCCCCAACCCCGCAAGGGAGCAAGGGAGAGAGCAAGAGTGTAGTGTACCCTCCTCCAGGTTTCCATCCTCAGCTTCTGTGCTGTTGGGAACCTGTGAACACCCAAGTCTTTGCCCCTGCTGTGGGCAAAGCCATAGGCTGCAGGTTGGGACGAAAGGCAGCCCAGCATCAGCTACAGGACCCCCATGCCCCTGCTGCCTGAGATGGAGGGCAGAGCCACAAACAACACACAGCTCTGTGTATTCTTCCCTGGCGGGGAGGTTTCTGGCCCCTATAAAAAGGAGATTAGGCACATTAAGTCCGAGATGGGAAACCTAGACACCCAGAGGTGAGGCTCTGCCCTCTACAGAGGCTGCTAGGAGGAGGGCCTCTGGAGATGGCTCTGTGGGAGACTGAGGCACACCTTGGGGACAGTTCTCTCCCATGCTTGGAGGGTGTGGACTCAAAAGGGGGTAAATGAGGTTCAAAGAAAAAAGCCTGGGGATATTCCCAGGAGCTCGGGAAAGGCGGAAGTAGTCAAGGCCTCCCGCACTAGGCTCTACCGCGGTTGCTGTCGGGCTGACCGCGGGTAGCTTGGACTTGGAAACCTCCCTCCCCGCTCTGTTGGTCCCGCGGCTGGAAGCCGGGTTCTCGATCTGCATAACTGCAACTAGCCGGAGGCGAGGCTCGGGAGGCCTCCTCCGGGACCTCAGCCCCGGGAACCACTCCTCGCGTCCGAGCGCCCCTGGGCGAGTGAGGTGCGGGCCTTGGGGGCTGCGCTGGGGCCATGCGGAGAGAGCGCGCGGCGGCGGGGAAGCCGCCTCCAGTTTCCGCCCGCCCGGTCTTCTCGGAGTTGCAGAAAGTGGAGGTGAGAATCCTCTCAAGCTGCAGGCCTGAGATGAACAAGATGACTCTGCAGTGCCTCCGGGTGCAGGGCACAATTTCGATTTTACGAACGCGCCTGCTGCAATTACGACCTCGCCGGGTGCGCACTTCGGCCTTCGAAGTCCTTGCTGGTCCCTGGCCTGTCCTTGGGCCCGTGGGCCCCAGCAGACACGCCAGGTTGGAGACCCTACGTTTCTCAGCGGCGCAAAGCACTTCCTCGTCGTGAGAGTGAGGTCCCCGGCGCCTCGCCCCCAAACCCCGGGCCGCCTCCCCGAGCCGCGAGCCGCGGCCGGCGCGCCAGGCCTCGGCCACGCGCCCCGGGACGCTTCGGGGGAGCAGCCCTGCTCCCTCCTTCTCTTTCGCTTTCGATTCGGTGCACGAAGGTTTTCGTTGCTAGCCGCTACCTTGCCATCCACTCGGCCCTGGCCCCGGCCCCCGAGAGAAGCGCACGGAGCTCAGAGGTCGGGAGACGCGGGCCAGGCCCGAGACCCCTGGGGCGCGGCCGAACCGCTGCTCCGGATTGTCGAATTAGACGCAGCGTTTGAATACTAAGGGCATTTCTTTCCCCGCGCCGACACAGTCCACACACCACCAAATGTGTAAACTCTGCCCGGATCGTATTCGAAGTTAGTCCAAGGACCGGCGTGCGGTTTTGTATAAGAGAAGCCCAAAATCAGACAGCGAGAAATGGAAGAAGCAGTTAAGAGCCCTGGGTGATTGTAGGGTGATCGAGAAAAAACAGCAACCTGGGAGCTGTGTCGTTGCCGACCCCCGCGCCCTCGTCAGTTTTGGAGGAGGAGGTTGAGAAGGAAAATGCTTTTAATGTTTTACATTGTTAATTTCTATAGCCACCAGCGTGCCTCAACAGTCGGCCTAAACACGCATGAATTTAAAGAGAAAAACAGAAGACCTAGATTAAAGGGTTAGTAGTTTAAATCAATTGATGTGCACAGTTTTCTTTGTGATAATTTATGTGCAGTGCAGAGGAAAGTTCGAAGAATTGTTCTGTCTGTCTACGCTGGTGTAACTACCATCTGAATCAAGATACAGACATGCATATGGACACGAAAATTTGGGGGGGAAACTTTTGTGTGTGAGTTGTTTTAAGAAAATTTCAGAAGAGACTTCGGAGAGCTGGGCAGCTCCCTTCCCCATCCCCCCCCGTTCACGACGGTTGTGTTTCTTGAGTAGGGTGACATTGTACACCCGGGCATTTGCACCACCCGGACTGGAAAACTTACCGGCTGCACCAGAAACCTTAATGCAGCAGCGGGGCTATCCCGGGGTCGCCTAAGCCCCGGCCCCCGGCGGGCTGCGAAACAGAGCCGAGGTAGGGAAACAAGTTAAAATACCATTGATAAAATTTCGCCCAAGTCTCTAAGGACTTTCGTTTTGGAGAGCAGCTGGGCACACTTTTCCTGGGACCTACCTTTAGCTCGGCCTCGGCCGCGTTTTTCCTGCGGCTCTGTGCGTGGCTTCGTTTTGATGGCAAATGGAAATAGGGAGACCTTTGCAGTTATGGGGGTGAGGGCGCCGCTCCTCTGGGTTCGGGCTTCTCCGCTGGCCCTTGGACCAGGGTGCCTGAAGCAGCATGCGGGAAACCTGGCCAAGCGCCGAGGGAGGGTCCGGGGGCTTGGGTGGCAGAATGGGGAAGCCGTGCTTGGTGGTGAGTGTTTTGCTGCACAGAAATGGGAGAAGGGAAGACGGGCTGTGACCGAGTGCTTGGCTAGAGAGAGCTCCCTGTACCCGAAGCCCTCTGCCACGACCCTTCCCTCCCCCACCCCCTTCTAGACCCAGGCACTGTTTTGGGTGGGGCAGTGAGAGCTCGGTTCTGCGTCTGGGACGCGCCTGCCAGGCGCCATCTGGCCACGTGCTCCTGAAGCTACGGGGTTCCCCAGGCTTCGCTAAAGTGACAAAGCGGGTCACCAGATTAGGAAGACAGCTATGTGCTTACTGCTCCGTGAATTCATAGTTTAAGTCACCGGGTTCCCCTTGCTCCGTGAATTCATAGTTTAAGTCACCGGGTTCCCCTTGCTCCGTGAATTCATAGTTTAAGTCACCGGGTTCCCCTTGCTCGGGGGCTCCGGGCACCACGCGCCTTCCGCC